GCAAATGTCATTTCAAGGACTGAATTTTAAGGAGTTGAGAAAAACTCAACCTTGTCCAATTTTCCAGGATGTTGTAAGTGTTTTCTGTGGAGTCAAAACTTTGAAATGAATACTGCTCTCCTCTGGACGAAAGTATTACAACAGACCTCATACATTCAAATATGACTCAAGATAGTTATTGCTTAATCAATCACTGCTTTTAATGGTTGCCAAAGCATGCACATCTAATGCACAGGGTCGTTCCACCATTTTTCCTATTATTATAATTTTCTGCAATCATAAAGGAAAAACAAAGGTTCATTGAAGATTCATTCTTTTCCATAGAATCAGATAAGGGTGTTAAAACATTAACAGCTGTTTTGGATGCCTTAAAGCATGACTCCATGTCTTAGACACACCTGAAATGAGCAGAGTTTAAATAGTAAACCATGCCCTCTGCTGTTTGGACCTTGGAACAACAGGTAGCCTTTGTTTCATCTTATTGTCAAATTTCAGTAAAACTGTTCTTAATGAATCAACAGTGTCCATAATCTCACCCACACTTTAGAATAGAATAGAGCCACTGAGTTACAAGCATACACAGATTTGTGTACAGTGTCAGGATTTGGAGTCCCATATATGTGAGTACTTATAGGTAATAAGAATATGTCCTATATATATATTATATGTAAGCATCTACATGTTATGTTTGTACCTATTTGTGATAACAATGATAAAAAATAATAAAAATAATAATAAAAAGTAATAATTAAAAAATAATAATTATGTTCCATATGCATTATAAGTATGATATATGTCCTATAAGTATATATATGTATACGTGTGTGTGTGTGTGTGTGTGTGTGTGTGTTAATAACTATATGTAACAACAGTATATCTCACATGTTTATATCTCAGTACTCATATGTAATAATAAATAAATAATAATAATAAACAACTAATAATAGAAGTGGCGTAGAAAATGTGTGTGTGTGTGTGTGTGTGTGTGTGTGTGTGTGTGTGTGCGTGCATTATACATATTTGTATATATGTATATACCAATATGACACGAATATGTCCTCTATGTATCATGTATATGTATGCACCTACAGTACTTATATGTACCTGTACCAATATGTGATAAAGAATGGTCACGTATGTATGATATATGTGGAAGTACCTATATGTAGTAATCTATGTCATATTTATTTTATATGTGTAAATAACATGTAAAAAGAATTTTCTAAGCCTAACCCTAAACCAAATCCTAACCTTAACCTCAGTAACTGAAAAGATATGGGTTTGCTCTTTCGGTTCAGAAAAAATGAAACAATCTCTCTCTCTTTCTCTATCTCTTGCTTTCTCTATCTCTTGCTCTCTCTCTCTCTCTCTCTCTCTCTCTCTCTCTTCAAGGCTGAAGGTTTGTCTGGGCACGGCTACTTGCAGTCCTGCCCTTGAGTGCACCTACCAGAGGGCTAGCTTGTGACGCACTCTGTCATTCGCTATGTAAAAATAACCCTCTGCTTTTTGTTATCAGATACACCAAACACATATAGGCAGGAGGAAAGAGGATCTGTGTGGCCCGTAGGTTGCCTTGGCGACAGGGCATGGTTGGAATGCCTTAGAGACCTGTTAGACAGGTTCTCCTCACATCGAGGAATTGTCATACGCTCAAATATTCGCTAAAATATTACTCTGAAACATGTTCTGCAGGTGGTACATGTCTGTAAAGCTTAGTCACATGTGTGACCACCTCCAAAAAAAAGTTAAACGAGTGCTCTTCCATGCATGGGTATGACGTTGTCTGTGAGGGGGCTGATGCAGAGGTGTGGCCAGCAGGTGCAAATTCAGGTAAGGTGAGTTCCTGGATAAGCTCAGGATCCTCCCACTCCCTTTCGCTTTGTTTCTATTCACAGGAGCAGCAGCAATTTTCTGTATTCACCTGCTCATCGCCTCACCTTTAACGACAAACAGAAACAGGTAAGACGCCTTTTGCTTTCTTATTGAAAATAAAAGATAGGGTCTCAACCAGTGGATCACTTTAAAACTGGCAAATTTACTACAAATATAATAGACATTATGTATATGTGATTGATGTCAGTGAGACAACTGGATTTTAACTCCTTACCTGTCAGCACTGACCCCATTTTTGACTTATCATATTATCGTATTTGACATGTTGGTATAATGTGAAGCCTTTAGAATCTACTTGTATGTAATATATATCTTTGTTGTGTCTGGATTTACTGGTGAGAGAAAGTCAAAAAAGACTTTTCTGACTTTCTTTCACTTTAATGTTGTCACTGTAGCTTAAATAAAGAGAGTTATTATGTCTAGCAGACAGTATACCAAGTTAATGTAGATTTCCATATATTCAAATAAGGATAAATTTTAACTCGCTGCTGCCGGTCACTAAGTAATTCCTTTTTTTTTTGCTCTAGGGATATTTTTTCCACTGTGAAAGGTCAGTTAAGTGTTTAAATTTAGCTTGATGCTTATCCATCAAGTTTAGAGTCCTATTTAACATTTTGGAATTAGAAAGAAGAGAACATGACATAATAAATAGGACAACGCACAACAGAAACCAGCGATTATTTGTTGTTATCACTGCATGGGTGTGACTTTGTAACTACTTAAGCAAACCCAACTTTAACTGAAGCTAATTATATAGGCCTAACCAGTTTGGTTGCCTTTGGATCACTTCCAGTTATTAAAACGTCATAGCTCTTCTGTGTCCCTCTCCGCTCTACAATGTGCACTGGGGTAACGAAATGCTTAAGTGTTGGTTAAAAGTTTGGAGAAGTGCTAGAGTACTGCCTAAAGAGGCGTTCCATCAAGTTTTCAAAAATTCCATAAAATTTAAAGGTTAAGATGTAAACAAAGTCATTCAGAGTGGTTTAATTTGAAATGGTGCAGTGTACAGAAACTTACCAATTCAGATTTACAGTGGTGGTGAGCAACCAGGGATCATGACATCTAGCACGAATACAGCCATTTTATTTACTATACAAAACGGTCAGTGAAACTACTGATCTGAGTGTTACATGAAATGTTGATAATGTTAAAATAGTGGTGAATTGAAACATGTAACTCTCCACCATGAATGGCTTTTCTAAAACAATATTGTAGGCCAAAAACATCTCAAACTAACCATTTCATTTAATAACTGTCTGTGTGGTAATTTTTAGAGGAACTAAACCATTCACAAGTCTGGTTCCAATCATCTCTACTGACTTGATAAGTTTCTCTAGAACATAGCATTTCATGACAAACCACTCTGAATGACTTTGATTATATGTTCACCATTTAATTATTTGTAAAATGTCACTTTAAGATGATAAAACTAAAGACTAAGTCTAAACAGGACATTGTAAGAAGCTTGGGTGCGGTGTTGAAGCAATGTAATGAGGGTAATTTTAATTGTGAAATGTGGAGGATTATTTGTTATAGATGTGTTTTTGTGGTTGAGGGTTTCTCCTGAGATGAATCATTACAACAGTCTATTGAGCCACATGAGATTTCTTGCATCACCTTTGTGATGTTGTGTAGCTATCCTCTTTCCTGGTATATGTTTTATATCCATCCTTTAGAAAAATGGTTTTAATAGTTAATAGTAATATTAAACTTTAGTACCAAATTGAATATGAATGAAAACCAGTGGATTCAGGTTGTAATTAAAATAACTGATCACAGCAATAACAGTCCAACACTGAAAAAAGACGTTTGGCAAGTGAAAGCATCTTACATGTAGACGATACATCTATTATATCTTTTTATGAGATTGTTGTGAGACTATTATAAAATTATTCAACCTAGTGTTGGATATGTTTTACTTGAAGTGGCCTTAAAGGGACTAAAGGGAAAATTTCCACTGATTTTCTGATTTGTTTGCACAATCACATAGTTAAGGTGTAAACAATAATTCAGAGTGTTCAAAAAAATACAAGCAAAGAGTGCTGCTGGTAAGGAAATAAACACTTAATATTGAAGGTACACAATGTCCAGGGGTTCAAAATCTTGAAAAAAGTTTCTTCATAAAAAAAGCCTTTATTATAATTTGGGCGTGGACAAAAAAACTCAGGTTTGTCTCTAAATAATTGAGAGTAGTATGATGAAATGCTTTGTTCTAGAGAAACTTAACTTGTTCTAAGTGGTGGTAAAAGGAACCAGGCGTCTGAAGAGATTAATGCCACATAAAGCTACCTTACAGGAGGTTTTTATGTAAAATGATTATGGATAAGCTGTCTTATTTGGTTTTATAAAGGTTTGATCCTAAAAATACATGGTGGAGTGGTACATGCAGGGAGTTGTAAGGTAAGACAGTCCCCCAAGAAACATACAACGACCCCTGGTTACAGTCACCACCACTACAAATGAATGGTAACTGTTAAGTTTCTCTACAATTACCGCCCCCCCCGAAAAAAAAAGTGAAAACCTCATTGCACTGGCACATAGTTGTAATCTTTTTAAGCATTTTTTATAACCAGCACATTAAAATGGGTAAACATGTTTAGAAATACATTGAATAATCTTAATGTATCATTAGAACAACCTCATGATGACACATATTAGTTATGTTTTCTACAGTTTAGATGCTTTAACTTGCCAAAATATCATTTTCTGCCATGAATGACACAACCAACGTTTTTTTTCTTAGGTAGGAAATGGCCGTAGAAATGAAACTGCATTTAGGCCTTGGCTTTGCTCTACTGTTGACAGTCCAGTGCCTCCAGCAGGCTACTCCAGCTTCAGAAGACGATGGTGCAGACTTGGCGAGTGGTAGTACATTTGGCTCAATAAGTGGTGATTATTACAACACAAACATTTCAGAAGATTCGACTGTCATTCCAGTAACAAATAAGGAACCGGTTGCTAATGACACAGACTCTGTCACATCAACTCCACCACCTTATATTGCCCTCAACTCTAGCAGAGAAATTTCAGTAGAAACCAATGAAACCTCAACCCAGAAATTCAACACGAGCAGTCCAATTACACTCAGGCCAGATCCGACACCGCCGATGACCAACGAAACTAGCCTAAACAACACAGTTACACCACAGCCAGATACCAACAGCACACAGCCAGGGTCTGGAAGCTTCTCTTCAAATGAAACAGCTGTTGACAATCAAAATTCAACTACAAGCAACAGTGTGAACTCTACGACTACTCATCCACCACAGGTCACAAATACAACAACAGAGTCTCTGCCTGAAAGTCCAACTAATGGAACCTTCCCAACAACAACCACCGGGTTACCTACCACTGTATCCACAACCACAGCTGTGAAGACCACAAAACTGAACAAAACTGGGGTATCATTTGATGTCAGGGGCAACTCAGAGCGAGGTGAGAAAGAGATGTACTGTCTCATAAGCACTCAAAAGATGGTGAAAGGAATTGGTGAATTCCTATCAGTATTGTTAGATTGCTAGAAAATTGACTTTAAAAATAATCATATCATTGAACCATATTATAAACCAATACTTGATTATGTATTTATTGTACTCTGGAAGAGTAGAAACTTTAGATCTTTAAGCTTTAAACTGTCCTGTAAACTCACATCATTTACAAAAATGTTTCTTTAAAGAACCCTTCACTGAAAAGTTCTTTCAGAGAGGGAGCAGTAAGGGTATAAGGTCATGCTTCAGTCAGGGCCTGTATTTATCAAACATCTGACCGCTTATCGCAGAAGTATCATGTTAAACCAAGGTCGGGTTTATGGCTTTTAATGAACACAATCACAGACAGCAATCTGATCCTAATGGTCATGGAGATCATGGATAATATAATGTTTAAAAATATGCTAGTGAAAGAGCACATTAGGCTTGTTTATGTGTTGTTCCAACTGAGAAAAAGGCCAAAAAGTACTGTGTTGAATAGTAATGTGATGCAGGTTTCATTCAGAAACATTGGCATTGGCTTTGTAAGCAGTCCAAGACAATGTGCATCCATAGTTAAACAACACATCTCCTCAATTCCACCCTCGAGCTGTCCCACATTTTCAGTATCTCGTTTCAGTTCTAAAGCTCCCAGTGGCTCTGTGTGTGGGGTTGAGTTTCGGGGCTGGTTTGTCCCCTGTGCTGGGCCAGGCTCTCTGGTTACTGACACCTAACCTGACAGCACAATAAGCACTGTGTTCTCTGAGCACGTTCTGGGAGGAGCTGTGTCCCCAGGTCAGGAGCAGACCAGTGTATGAGTACCTCACCGCTGGGCTAATGTTAGCATATTTGTGCATAGAAAGCTCAGAGGGGTTTCCCATGATCAGCATTATTCTAACCTCTTAAACCTTGCCCATAAGTCCCAGGCTGGACAACAGTGCGTCTTTTGATTTGAAATTTTAGACAAAGGTCAAGGATACTGTAACCTAAAAATGACTTCATGTGGTAACACGTCATTTTATTGGCTTCAACGTCTGCCCTGTCCACTATTTATGTTGTAGACTGCTGGAAAGAACCGTCAGACTGCTAAAGAGGACGTATAAGTATATAGAGTTCCGTTCATTATCTGTTATAATTGAAATAATAATTTTTGGGCCCACATTTTTTCACTTTTACTCTCACTGCAAAGTTTGGAATCAATAATGTACATTTTAACAATATGATTTTGTTCTAGATACATGTAATATTCTAATATTCTATTGGTTTTGAATTATTTGAAGGAAGACATTTTTATGACAAACAGAGCTGTAGATGATCCCCGAATAACTAAGAAAGCTGAATGAACTTATGATAAATTTGACAACTAGAATGCCTCATTATTTAAAAAGTGGTGACAAAATCTTCTGCTTTAATAGCTATTTATAGTTATTACATGACAATAAAATCATCACAAACAAATAATTACTGTTTAAAATGTAGTAACATTTAATATTCTTTCTCATGGCAAAACTACTTGTTCCCAAAATAATTTTGAATAAACTATAGATTTACATTTTGCTATCTATTTTCATCTACACCATATATATTATTATTGAGTAATAATTCTTGATAGAAGAATGATCCCAAACTTTTGAACTGTAGTATAACTTACGTATTAGTTTCATACATCTTATAGAATGACTAAGAACTGAAGTTTTTGGTTCAGTGGGTTCAACCTGCATTGAAAACAATGATCATTTCTGGAAAACATTTCAGTAAAGTAGTGCAACAGTATTTGGGGAAAGCTGAGCTAATTGTTGGAGAGGATTTCTAAACATGGCTCCAGAACTTCATTCTTTGTCGGAGCTGAACTGTTGCAATCTTAAGAGACTGAGTTGGGGCAGAAATCTGTGTCGGGGGATTCCTGCTTTAGATCTCTGCAAAGAGTTGGATTAAAGCTAATTTTCCCCACCAACACATTTGCCTTAAGAATGTGTTTCTTTCTCATCTCTCCTGTGAATGTTTTGTGTTTTGAGCAGATGTGAGGTTGCATTGCTTGGTGTGATTTATCTTGAACTATCATCATGACTTTGCAGGTGCTGCTTCAGATGTTAAACAGAATGCCAAAAATCAGGCATGGGGAGCCATTGTGGGTGTTGGTGTTGCAGTGGGATTTGTTGCCTTGGTGGTCTATGTCATCAGGAAGCGAAGGAGCCACAGGGACTTCTCACACAGGAAACTGGTGGAGGAGATGCCACCTGAGCCAGGTAAACATGCTCATCTCCACGACTGTCTGTATTAGTAAAATATAAAAAAGTAAAAAAAAACAAAAACTCTTTATATGCAGATCTACCTGGAGTAAATGCTAAAATATTCAGGGTGGTCTCATTTGCACATCTGAAATGAAACAATAATGCAACAGGGTCAGCTTAAATTTATTTGAGAGTCTTTATTTTAGTCTTTACTCTGTAGAAATTACAGTCCTTTTTAAACATACAGTCATAGGCAAAAGTTTGAACACCCCTGGTCAAACTGCATGGTGTGTTGACTTTCTAAGTGAAAATAAGTTAACTCATCCTCTACAGAGTACCAACTTTAATATATAACATTTCCTGCATATTTTATTATAAAATTTCTATGTATTTACTGAGTTTAACATATTAGTGAAAAAATATAAAATATAAAATGTGCCAAAACCTTTGCAACATTTTATATTTTATTTTTATTTTTCCCCATTATGTTAAATTCAACAAATAAACAGTTAGTGTGCATTAAATGTGCAGAAGTGTGCTCTTTGTAGAGGATGTGTTAACTTATTTTTACTGAAACTCAAGAAAACTTCATTTCACCAGGGGTGCCCAAAGTTTTGCATATGATTATAAACTCCACATTTCAGGGAAACGTAGTAGTTGTGAAAATGAACATTATCTTAAAAAAATAAAAGTTTATGTACTCAAGTTATAAAAAAAAAAAATTGTTTGTTGTTGTAAAGGGCTTATACGATTGTAAACCATTTTTTTAGTAATTAATGAGTGTTAGAAGGGGTGTTTCAGCCCAGACTGCTTTTTGAAAGAAGCACAATACAGGACCAATCAGAACAGAGGTCATTTACATATATCAGTCTTAAGGGCACAGAAACAAAAATGTTTAATTATAAGGGGTAAAGAAAGTGAATTCAGATTTTTTTTATACATACAACCACATAAACATCATATATGGGATATCAGAGGAACATGAAATAAAATACATAAAAAATGACCCTTTAACTTAAAGACATAAGTATCCTGGTTTGCTGCCTGGTCATTTACTTTTTTAAGTGTAATGTGGTGGTACACTTGTGCTTTTCTCAACACTTTCTTTGTTCCATCACTTTGGCACAGGTTTGTCTTCATCTCAACTGTCCATTAGACTGTATGCCTGTTATGTGTGTTTTAACAAATGGAAACCTGGCCTTTCGGTTCTTGAGACTTTGGCCACGGTTGGCATCTTGTGGTACACTCTTCAAGATGGTTCTTCAAGGGTTCTTTAGTGAAGAAAATAGAACAAAAAAAGAGTTACGTTATTGTTACGATGCCAAGCTTGTAACAACAGAAGAACCCTTTTGGTGCTTTATAGAACTTTTTTCAAAAAGGGTCTGTATAGAACCATTTACAGCTCCATCGATCTGAAGAACCCTTTCACAATGCAAAGAACTACTTTAATCATGGAAAGGGTTATTCAAGTGTTCATGTTTCTATATAGAACCATTTAGTTTACTAAAGAACCCTTGAAGAACCATGTTTTTAAGACGTAAACCATCTGTGATCATATTAATTTATTCTTCTCTCAGTGGACATAAATGCCCATGGGTAGTGTCATGGGTCTGTTTTTGATCACAACGGAAAGTATTCTGAAAGTATTCCTGAGTCATCCTCTGTTGTGTTGCCTGTCTGGCCTTAAGATTTGTTTGTGCCTCCTGTGTATAGTTCTCAGGCTGGACAACAGCGATCCTCTGGATTTGAAGTATGATGGACGTGCTTACTATAACCCTGGACTACAAGGAGACAACATCCAAATGACCAGCTTCCCACGAGGACACTCAAACTAAAGATTAGTCTGCCAAGCCAAAGACACTGATCTCATACACTGGACTTTGCTGTTAGCTATTCTGAATCTGACCTGAAGAACCTAAATAATAAAGTATAATGCATCCTCATACAGACATACAGGCACAATGTAAAGTAAATTGCCAAATGAACTTTAAAAGGACCAAAGCTTGGGTTTTCTTTCTTTCTTTCTTTCTTTCTTTCTTATTAAAAATGTGTTTCCATTTGAACTCTTTAGAGAGGGAGACTGCTGAAATGAACAGACTGGAGAATGTTTTGCTGTATTTTTAATTTGATAAATAGAAATTATGTATAGTTCTTTTCAAGTAATGAAGTAATTAACAGGTAATTAACACAACTAAGTATAATATAAATAGGTAATGATTACTTAAATGATGTAAATGTAATTTGACTGGTTGAATATCCCAATTTGTATCAAGGCTATATGGCTTGGTAGTTTGAATATTGTTATGAATAGATGATGTATGAATGTTGATATTGAAATATTTGGATTTTGTGAGTAATTCTTCACATATGAATGTAAGGTATGAAGATATAACGAATAAGACCGGCACATTTTGATAACAGTTGATAAACTAATTAAAAGAACAGTGTGTTTAGGTTATGAATAAATCCAGAGGAGGGAGCATACAGACGCTATTAACTGGGCTTCTGAGAAAATGTCTGTGAATTAGAAAAGTGTGACCGTGTTTCATTTTTAATGATGTGGATCTACTTGATGTCATATTCAAATGCACTTTGTTACGCGTTTGTATTGTTCCAAAATGCTCCAGCAGCTACTGATGTACTAAAGGTCAAATGTGTATATGTGTGTATACTGTGGAGTCTTTCTGTCTAAAAATTTATGTTTTACAAAATGGGTTTGTGGTTCATTCAATGCAAATAATAGCATCTTAGAGCAGAGCAACAATAAAAAAAAAATAATTTTTATAATTTGTATGTTTTTTTTAAACAGAAAGTTTAACAAACTTATACAACTTTCTCTAAAGGTTTGGAATCAAGTTTTGTTAATTACTTAAATGATTCTAATATGCTAATCCTGTATATGTTCTGTCTTTCTTTCTTTTTTAATTAATTTCTTCTTTCTTTCTTTAATTTGTTTCCTTATGCTTGTTCCATATGCTTTCGGAAGCAAAAAGGCAGATAAAAAGAAAATACACAACATTTTAGATGTGTGCGGAATGATGAATGGTGCACATTGAAAAAGCTGAATAGCATCAAGAAATAACGATAAAGGCATCAAGAAATAGAATAAATAACTTTATTTATTCTAAATAAAATTAGAATAAAATTAAAATCTTGAGGCAGATAACTTGTCACAAAAATATCTGTAGAATATATTGATGATATTTTAATGACTTTTACGTCCACAAAACAAAACAAAACAAAACAAAACAAAACAAAAACCTGATTCCAAACTTTACTCTCAAACACATCCAGGCCTGTTGGTGGCGATATACGAATTCGTTGCTTGGCAGCCCACCATGTACTGAAGAGCGGTAGAAGTGTACAGGTTGTTGTTGTCAAAGTTGTGCTGAATGCGAGTTTAATGTAGAGAGTTTTTACTTAGATTTTCCAGATGATTAAAACTGAGAAGGTTTTACATTTGAAGAGTTCTCGGGGTGGTAAAGTCCGTGTTGTTCGGGAGCACTATGTGAGAGAGCAGGTGGAGTGCGGCAGTTCACTGTGTGAGGCGGGCTGTGTCAGCGGTGAGAGCGAATAGCTAGCTAACTAACATACAACCTAACGGTCTTTATTAGACTCCATAAGCTTCTCTCTCTCTCTGTTACTATAACCTTATAATAGTAAGTCAGATTCTTACTAGTACGAGTTTTCCCGTTCCACCTTAAATGGTGCAGCACCTTAAATATTAGCGCCTTCCTGGCCTCAGCCGCCAAAATGTAGTTGCTGCACTGTTTAAGGTGGAACGGGAAAATTCGATCGAAGAAGCTGGCGAGTAAGAAGCTGACTCTCTCTCTCCCTGACTTAGTATTTTTATTAACTGATGCAGTTTCTCTGTGACTGTTCATTAAAGGGGAATTCCACTAACTTTTAAAACAGTCATTTGATATGATGTGTTTTGATGCGACATGCGCCCTTCTGGAGAGTCTGACCAATCTGACCATTCAAAGCTAAGCTACCTCACAGAAAGTTGCTGCCTGATGCCTGAAAGTAGTTCTAAGATAAGGTTTGGGCCTAAAATATATTTTTTATTGTTACATGCAAAATAGGTTAAAAAAAGACAAAAATTGGCAGTGGTAAGGAAAATTGTACGCTCAAGATTTAAAAAAAAAATGTATTTATTTATTTTTAAAAATAGATTTACCACTATTTGACTATTATCAACATAACATATAAAGCTTAGAGGACGTGTGTATACACTGGGCATTTTGGATAATAAATAAAATGGCTATATTTACATTTTAGACAACACCGCGATCTGATCGCCATCATTGTAAAGAAATCCAAGCTGGTTATTTTCTTGACAAAGCACCAGATAATATCGAATCACTCTGAATCACTTCGTTTATATCTCCATAATTGCATTACGCGGAAATCAATGGAATTCCCATTAAACTAGTTATTATTTTGTAGAATGATTGATGCAGGACACATTTTTTGGTGAAATTGCAGTTTAGCACCACTCATTTTTGTTGAAGTTATAAGTAATTTTTTAACCTGCTTTTTGAATGAGGCACAAAACAGGGCAGCCAGTCAGCACAGAGGACATTTACATATATGGTCATGCAAAAATGAATTACAGTTGTTTTTGAAACCACACAAAAATCAAACAGATGTCATAAGTGGACCTGAGGAACATAAAATAAACTCCAGGAGAGCTATTATATAGTTCTGTGTTCAGAAAAGTTTAACATTCAAGTACTAACTGGTAGAATGATGTAAAGCGGGATGGAAGAAACTAGTTTAATAATTCTGGCTGATATAATCAAAAGAGACAGTAGTGATTTTGCTTTGTGACTCTTCTGACTGTACTCCTGTAGATGGCAAGCTGCTGTCTGGAGATGTGACCCACTATGTGGTGCCGGACGCTGGAGTGGTCCGGGACTTTCTGGAGGTTTTGGAGTTTAGGGAGTTGCAGGGGATTGTGTTCACCCAGACAGCCTGCCAGGCTGCACATCATGCACGTGGACGGAGGTATTCTGCTAATACAGTGATTTAAAATAAACACTGTATGTGTAATACAAAAATATTATGTCTTATATTAATTTCGAGCCTACTCAAATGCAGAGTGTGTAAGATTTGACTAATGTATGATCAGGTTCTCATGATAGTCTGCTTGTGTTTCACTATTCTGAACTATTATTGCATTTTCAGGCACTATAACAGGTTACGTGTGCTCCTAAAGGACCCGCGCCATGACTGTGTCTTGTTTGCTAATGAGTTTCAGCAATATTCTTACTGCCCCCGAGAGAAAGGAGAAACACAAGAGAAATGGCACACAAGGTAACAGATGCATATTTGCCTAAAGGTTTATTCATATGTAATGATTTTTAAACTTGTCTGATGAGTGGGTGGCTGATTTTGTGCATTTAAACTTGTCCAGGTGTGTGTACCATGCAGCAGTGTGGTATTATAACCATCTGGCTGGTCTGAGGCCAGTAGTTATGATTACAGAAGATGAGGATGCTATCAAAGAGTACGGCAGTCAAAACAGTGGAGTTTATGTCATCTCGACCCAAGTATGTGTGTAGACATGTAGCAACGTCTTATTGGCTCATAAACAAAAAGCACTGTGGCGATATGGCAAAAATAAAATCACAATACTTGTAGATATTTTCCCCCATATATACATATCAGTGATATTTAGTTTTTCTGAGGTTTGTAAAGTTGGTACTGACAGAATTGCACCAGCATTGCCACATTTGAGGACAATGCTTTTTGTTAAGTGTTTCACATACTGTGCTGTACTAAATCTAGTCAACAGGACTAATTATGCTCTCTCTTATATAAAACATGCAGTTGGTCAGTGTTATTTAAGCACTAATGAAATCCACAACAAGCTCAAGAAAGCATTGTGGCCTTTATCACTTGATTTATCACAATACAAAATCATATTGTTAATTGCCCACCTCTACCTCTCAACTTTATTACTTGTCATATTACGTACTAATTCAAACAGCCGTTATGAAATCAACTACCATCAGCATAATGCAGATGCAGTGCAGTTCATTTTCTAGAAATACAGTAGCAAGCAGTAGCGTGCTGCATGCTGAAAGTTTGTATTGTATGTGTGTCGATCTTTAGGAATATTTGGAAAGTTTTTGGCCAGACCTGCAGGCAGCCCGGGAGCTGTATGTGTCCATCGCTCAGGCTCTACAGGAGAGAGAAAGTGAAGGAGCAGAGAAGGAATACACTGAGCACCTGCCTGCTGAGGTGCTGGAGGCAGGAATCAAATCTGGCAGATACATTCAGGTAATACCCTTTTAGTCAGGTGGGCGTGAGTGAAACATTCAGGTGAAGGTTAATTCGTGTGAAGCATCATTGCTTGCAACCAAGACAATCAGCTGCCACATTTTTTGTTTGAAAATAATTTTGTTGATTTCTGTGGACTATTGTAACCGGCTGTGTACAGGTTACGTAAATAGTGGTCATTGGGGTCAAAGCATGATGTGCCATTCAGAAACCAGTAAACAGATGATTAATAGAGCAAAGTGGCTGCTATTTATAAAACGTGGAATCACAAAAGAAGTCAAATTAGTAAGCAGTGACCTTGGTATGACAAGCAACAGATTTTAAAGGGTCTATATCTTAAGCCCTATTCTGACAGGATTAGTTCTATACTGAGAGGTGGGGTAATGCCATTTTTACCAGGTAATATTAATCCTGTGCAAATCGACCTGTTAGTAAAAATGCCATCATATTCTGTGGAGTTTTTTAAGTATGGAAGCAATCTAAGAAGTCAAAATCAAGCAGATACATAATGTTACTGTCCTTTCTCACATGTACAACATAACAATTGCAGACAGAAAGTTTGATTTTAGGTGATGACTGTTGGCTGTGAATTCCCAAGCTAGTGATGCTAATGACACAGTGCATTCACTTAATTAATTAACTTTTTCATATATCCACCTATTCAGCCTCCAGCAGTTTAGCTCCACCTGTTCACACTGAAGTTGTAAAGAGTGTTTCAGCCTGGACTGGGGCACAATGCAGGACAGCCAGTCAGAGCATGAATATATAACTCTTGAAAGCACTGTAATAAAAACAACCTGTTTAATTGTAATAGATAAAGACAGGTTGGAAAATGCTTATGTAAAAATAAATTATGACTAGTTTAGGTTTAGGTGGGCATGAGGGCAAAAATAAAATACAGGAAAAATGCAAGTCAAAATACCTAGAAAACAATACAATATTTGGACATGAGTTGTGTTTGCACAGTTGTTGCACTCAATGGACTAAATAATTCCACAGTCTCAGAGTGCACCAGAATCTGCCAGATTTTTCATGTTAAAATCACTAAAAAATTTCTTCTAGGAACAAAGCCAGTGGTCTCTGAAAGTGTTCATGTCTCTTAAAGGGAAAGCAGCCAGGAAAAATAAAGCTTTTTGGTCCTTTCAGTATGAAAATGTGCTTCTTTTTTATTTATTGGAACCTTTGATTCCTTGATAATCAAACAACATTTCCTGCCTCTTCCATTTCAAGGGTGCACTTAGTGTGAACAAGCATCGTGCGCAGCATGAGGCCTTTGTGCGTTTTGAGGGCTCCTCAAACAAGAACACAGGTCAGCAATTACGAACACAATTACTAGTCTCCTGCTATACTGCATGAGGCAAGTTCACTGTTAAACTTAGATCTCTGACCCTGTCTCCAGAGTTAAATAGTGACATCTTGATCAGTGGTGGGAAGCATCGGAACCGCGCAATACATGGAGATGTAGTTGCCGTGGAGCTGTTGCCGCACAGTGAATGGAGGGGCCGGACCACAGCATTAACGGAAGGACAGGGGGAGGAGAGGGCAGGAGAGGACACACAGAGCCAGCCCATGCCCACAGGTCACCGCCACTCAAACAGTGGGCATTTCAGCCCCTTTTTTCACAGTAGCCATAAAATGCAATTTCCACCTGTTTTGGAGGTCCCTCAGTTTTAGCACTATGCATTTTTTTTCTTCAAGAACACCAAAATATATTTTGGTGCAAATGTGTGCAATTTACAACACTGAAAGTGAACTGGATTTTTGTCTTTCTAGATCAAGCAAATCGACATTTATAAAAGTGTTTTTATTGTATTTCTATTTTTATTGTGGCAGTTGTACACAGTTTTGTGATATGAAGAAAAAAAAGTAAGAAAATGGCTTTACACATCCAAATTTGTTAGCTACAGTTAGTGTTGTTGGCTTTTTAAGGACTAATATAATTCAAAATCAAGAGCATAGCTAAGCAAAGTTACTTTGCATATTGTTGGTTTATGTTACTAGTGATTGACACATTTTGACAAAATTAATTCAATTGGCATGTCTCTTTGGGAAAATATGCACTGATTTCATGGGAAGGATAGTGTTATTAAATCCAACACACACACACAAAAACTCTCCCAAACATTATGTTGTACCAGCTGTGACAAAACAGCAAATTCACACAGTGAGTCCCCAGTGTTACAATGCCTACTGATAACCCCAGCTACCTCTCACAAGGGTACTGTGTTCTGGAAGAGTGGACATACTTAGAGTTTAAGTTACCGTGTTGAAGAGCATTGAGCCACAGCCAGATGATACAGGTGAACAGTTACAGGACCAGCACTAATGAATGGAATTTTTTTTAACTCTTAGTATTAGAAGCTTTTTTCAAAAATATTAAGTACTTACTAGATAGCCTAACAAGCTGTGATTTTCTCTTCCTCTCTCTGTAGGCAGGGTGGTGGGTATTGTGCAGAGGAATTGGAGGGACTATGTGGTAACGTTTCCTCCAAGAGAGGAGCTGCAGTCCCAGAGCCGAAACTCCCAGAAGATTCTGGTCATTCCCTGGGACTATCGCATACCAAAAATCCGGATTAGCACTCAGCAGGCTGAAGCACTTCAGGTACAACTCTCTGAATTCATGTGGACATTCTTAGGGCCGCCATCTAAGACAAGGAGATTTGTAATGCTTGGAATCAGCCTACTACCTCTCCACAAACTTTCCTGTAAAAATGTTAATTTAAGTTCAATTTTATGTATTTTGCTCTTTCAAAAATCTTAAGCATCCATCAAATGATACACTGCCATATGCAAAAGTTTGGGCCTCCCTGGTAAAATTACATGTTTTGTCGATGTCCTAATGAAAAAAGTACAATGCTATACAGAGGACACACCTCTGCATTTTAAGACATGATTACTGTTTATTTACAGAATTTAAAATGGTATAATAAGAAAGCATAAAATAAGATCTGTGGAGAAGGTATGGCACATTTCAATATATTACGTTTTATTTTTCCAACATATTAAAATCAGCAAATATATAGAAATTGTGCACAAAAAATTGCAGAAAATTGCATATTTAAGTTTGTTCTCTTTTCATTTGCATGCTTTGGCATACAACTGCACATGGTAGTTTTTGTTAGCTGTCAGTACTACTAAACCTTTTGGGTGTCCTATGCTGGTAAAGATGTCACCCAGCACTAATGAATACATGTTTGTATATTTGACATGCTGTGTTTATGACACTAAATATATGTTGTATAGATAATTGAATACCAATCATTCAGATATCAGGCATATCAGCATGTGATGCGTGATAGATGGACTTACTCTGCTTGTTGTACAAAAAACAAAATACTAGTATTGACTTTAGCCTATTAAAACCTGTACCATTTGGAATGTAGTCCTAAGGTGTTTGAATGCTGTGTGAAGGACCATAGGGTGATTGTGCGTGTGGACTCATGGGATAGCACCTCTCTCTACCCCAATGGCCACACTGTGAGAGTACTAGGGAAGGCGGGTGAGTTGGAAGCTGAGATTCAGACCATACTGGTGGAGAATTGCATCCATGTGCCCCCATTCTCTGAGGCCCAGGTGAGTAACACTAGAAAAAAGTAATTCAGTTAATCTTTAATTATCCTCACAGGGCAATTTTAAGTATAATTGATTTAACCAATTGAAATGAAGAAGTACATTTTTTCACTATTTCCTATTTTGTCTGTTCATTAAATTGATGCTTGTTTGTGTGTTTCTGCAGTTGCGAGAGATGCCTGTGAACTCTAAGGAGCAGCCATGGCAAATGGGCCCAGCTGAAGTGAGCTCTCGTCGGGACCTACGGGACACACACCTGGTGTTCAGCATTGACCCGCTGGGTTGTGAGGACGTGGACGACACTCTGTCTGTACGCATCCTGCCTGGAGGCAAGCGGCTGGAGCTAGGCGTGCACATCGCAGACGTCACACATTTCGTTAAAGACGGCTCACTCACTGATCTGGAGGCTCGCAGCAGGTGAGAGGCTTGTTGTTTTGGACAGTGTCATGTAGCTCTGAATGCTTTGAGGTCCTCAATATTTGATCAATTACTAGTTAGTGAATAAAGTTTGGGCAGTGTGGAAAACATATAACATCACGACACGTTAAAAGACATTTTAACGGTATGCAATAATCTGTTCACCACAATATTGTTTTTCTGATGATTTATGTTTTAACAGACAAAATAGCCCCAGTAGTGCCACATTTGAAAAACATTATCAAAACCTATGAATACAATGATTTTTAATTTTAAATTATACATATTCAATTAAATTCTATTCAAGATTTCTTTATATAGTGCTTTTTAAATTGGATGTTGTTACAAAACAGCTTTACAGAAAGCCTTAGTCCAAGTTCCAAATGAGCAAGCCAAGAACGATAGTGGTAAGGAAAATTTATGAGTAACAAATAAGAAATAGATTTATTGAAACCTTTGACTACTGCTGGAATTGTGTCATGATGACACATTAGTATGAATGTGTTAAAAAAAAACAAACCAATAAACAAATTCCAATTAAACCTGCCTGATAATGCTCTTTTTTTATTGAAACATGCAGTCTGTCAGTACCCTTATACTGAGTATATACATGATATGCTCAGAAAAGTGATTATTGTGATGTAATTTATCATGATAGCAATAAATATGATCATATTGCCCATGCCTACGGGACTGTTTTAAGTACCATTTTATGCATCTCCCTCATTCTAGGGCTACCACCTATTACCTGGCTGATCGCAGGTATGACATGCTGCCGGCAGTGCTGAGTGCTGACCTCTGCTCCCTACTGGGAGGAGTGGACAGGTAAGCCACATGCTACACCTTCACACCAGCAGGTGATCTTTAATGGTCAACCATGGATTTTTGCATTGTAGATGTCCCATGTAAGGATTTTTGGGAAGATATTGGGAATGTTCTTGGAACTTTGTAAGGATTCCCCCTAAGACAACCTCTCATTTTCCATTTCATAGATATGCCATGAGTGTACTGTGGGAGCTGGATGCTGAGACTCTGGCTGTGTGTAATGTGTGGTATGGCCGCACTTTGATCCGCTCCTCTTACCAGCTTCACTATGAGCTGGCCCAGAGCCTGCTAAATGGAGAAGAGGTTGAGGTGCCAGAGTTGTCCCAGCTCAAGAGCTCTGAGCAGAGTCAGAAACTGGCTGAGCTACTGCAGGCTCTGGAGACCCTGACTCGGGTGGCCAGGCACTTGCGGGCACAGAGGGATAAAGTGGGTGCTCTGGAGCTGGAAGGGGTGGAGGTGAGGGCACAGTTGGACAAGGACAAGAACATCGCTGCTCTCGTTCCAAAACAGCCTCTGGAGGTACATGAGACGGTGGCAGAATGCATGATTTACGCCAACCACTGGGTGGCACGCAAGATCCAGGAGAGTTTTCCCCACCAGGCACTGCTGAGGCACCATCCGCCACCCAGACAAGAGTTCTTTAATCAGTTGATTGACAGCGCCAAGGGACGTGGCTTTACGATCGATACACGGTATGAAACTGTCATTATCATGAGTACCTTAAAGATCTGTAGCTCAAAAGCTCTCACAGTAGAAAAATAACAGTAATGTGTCATGTAATACATGAATACCTCGATTCATCCAAACTCCCACAGAAATATTCATGAACATTGTGACTGGTTAGAGAGCCGATTTACATATTGCAGTTCCACAATATTGGTACCGCTAAAGCCAATATTTAGCATAATGATAAAAAAAATAGTATTTCAGTTGCTATGGTCCTTGTTTTCTCTTTTGTTTAACAAAATTTGTCTTTTGCACAGGTCAAACAAGGCTTTGGCTGATTCCCTGGACCGGGCGGTGGATCCCCAAGACGCCCTGGTAAACAGGCTGCTAAGGATGATGGCCACCCAGGCCATGTCAAATGCCCTATACTTCTCGACTGGAGCCTGCCCAGAAGAACACTACTATCACTACGGTATACCATCACTTTTAGTCTGCCTGCATGGGTGTGCATTCTTCAAGAACTTAGGAGAAATACAATTCAGGTTCCACACAGTAGAATCAAGGGCTATATAAATGAAAAAGATACAAAAAAATTCCCTGGACAGTGCATAACTCTCATTTTGCCTCCAGATTTGTCTGTTCAGTCCATTTCCAAAAAGCCTTAATAGAACACAGAGCAGAACTTTGGCCACTCTGATGCTCACTGGCCCGGTTGTGTGTGTTTCACTGACAGGTCTTGCTCTGGATCGCTACACACATTTTACCTCTCCAATCAGGCGCTACGCTGACATCATAGTGCACCGCCTTCTTATGGCTGCTATCCAGTCAGAGAAAGATGAGTACCTTCATAAGACCTTAGCCAGCAACAAAGAACTGGACGAACTGGCGCAGCACATCAACAACAAGAACCGAGTACGTAGGGTTCTTGATTAGAAACTTGTGTTCGGTGCCCTAGCAGTATTTTAGAATAAAGATCTTGTCAACTGTAAAACAAAACCATCCCTATGATGACATTTGGGCAGTGGTACTTTTTGGGGAAGTTTTGTGATGTAATGGAGCTATTGCCCATGTTCTAGTACCATTTTGTTGCTCTTTGTAATTTAAGATCTCTAAACATTACATAGTAACTATTAGATCGTGGTATTTGTTTAGAAAAAATGAGGCTCAGAATGTGTCAGAACGTTGTAGTTATAATAGTATTTCTCTGTGACCTTCAGGCGGCCCAGCATGCTCAGAAGCAGTCTACAGAGCTTTTCCAGTGCCTCTACTTCCGAGACAAGGACCCACTTACGGACGAGCGCTGTGTGGCTGATGCTATTGTCTACGCAATCAGGGCCAATGGCATGCTGGTCTTCCTGCCACGGTTATAACTCAGTTTAATATTATGAGTTTAGTATTAGTAGAAGTACATGTAGAAATATATTTGGTGGAGAAATACTCAATAAAAATCATAAGTTTGGTGTGGATGAAACAAAGCCAGGCCTTTTTTAAGAGTTTAGAAACACTCAGCAAAGTCTTGATGTATATGTGTGCTTTCAGATATGGTATGAAAGGAGCAGTGTACCTGAAGAATCGGGATAGCCAGGTGATCAGTATGGGAGATGATGGCAGGTGCGAGTGGCAGGTGGGAACGTTACAGAGATATCCAGACAGAATTAGCACCTTCACTGGCACAGGGACGCACACCTTTCACCTGTTTGACCATGTCACCGTGAGTACATGCACTCTAATATACATGTAAGAATGCATGATGCCTGTTGTCCCACAAAGAAAGACATGACCATGCTTAACATGTAACATGTACTTAATGTTTTATGCCCATGATGTTCTTCAACTCCATACACATGGAAAGTGATTTTGGAATGGGATGCCCAACATGCATAAATGTGTGTGATGATCAGGTGTTCTTCGATTCCTCCCCCGTTGCCACTGTCTTTTGTCAATGCGAAAACAGATTTATTCTTTTCTACTGCAGCATAACAATGGAAGCCATGTTGCTCGCAGTGATGTCTGTTGTGTCTTTTCTGTTGGAATGACTACAAGTATCATATAAACATTTATATAGGATTATGAAGTCTTTTTCTGCTAGTAAACAATCCTAGTCAGACTGTATCTTTTTAACCAAAATGGCCTTTTGTCATTTGCTCTGTGTTCCTCTCTCTTGTTTGTTGATCATTCACTTGTTAGGTGCGCATCTCTGTGGAGCCCTCCCGCTGCCATGCTGACGGCGTGCATCTGGAGCTCATTAGTAACAAGCCGCATCAGGCTGCAAGGGCTGAGTCTCATCCTGCTGGTCGTGGCCAGTCTGAGTTGGTTCAGGAGGTGGTGCGCAGGGAAGAGGAGGCATCCCTCCAGGCAGAGGAGCAGAAGGCAAGGAGACCTAAACTGAGCCGAGAAGAAAGGGAGTTCAGACAAAGCAAAACGCCCAATCTCTACTCCCTACTGCAAGAGATCAGTGAGCTGGCCCTGCTGGACTTACCCAACACTGAAGCACAGACGTGCAGTACCTCAGCATAGGTTTATTTCAAGGATTGAAATCCAATCCAGAATCCCACATCTGATCTTAAAACCTTTGTTGAAATGGCCCTTGGGGGCTAGTTTATTAGAGACTTGGATGGTGGATTTCATTGCTCAAACGTTGCAGAACTTGATTTTTGTTTACTCTAAAGTTTGGCACATCCACTTTATCACTGGACTGCTTTGGCCAATGTTTTACTCAGAAATTGCCTATAAACTGAGGAATTTCCCTAAAGTAGTTCAATTCTCTCAGTTAGTTGCACTGAGAATATATAAACCAGAGACAGATTGAATTAACAAGAGAAAAAAAGATTGCTTTTTGTTTAGCTGCGGTGTTCAAGGTATTTTTACAAGGTGTATGAACTGTAGATTTTAAAGATGTTTTGTGCTGAGTTGAATTAAAAAGTGTATTTTCATAAAAAGTTAAAAAGTGAATGGAGCTGCTGGGGTCTGTTGGATAACCAGACACAAATGATTCCAGTCAGAGACCACTGCTGAAATGTTAGATGATTTGTAGGAATGAAGTATTGGGGGAATATCATGTACATATCTGGCAATGCCCATACATAAGCATTTATAAAATGTAGAAAGTGAAATCCACCTAGAGTGGCATTACAGAGACATTTAACATTTTTTGAGTTACAGATGCAGTAAAAGGAATAAATTGCAGGCATTTTAGCCCAGCATCGCCTCAACATTCTGCTCCTCCAGAGTATAAAAAAAGAGCAAAAAACAATGAGTTGAAGTATCAGTCAATTCTAAACATCTGCCTGATATATTTTTTAAACCAAAGAAATGCCAATACCAATATGATTCTATGATCATTGTGCATCTAGGGCTGGGCAATATGACAGTCATCATTGTTGTGTTAAATTACATTGTCACAATATGCTTTTCTGAGCATATTGTAGAGATCGTCAGTCCTTAACACTGAACAATTGCATAGTATTTTTTAAATGTGGGTTCCTTTTTTCTGTTCCAGCTTATCAAACCTCAGGTAGGTAAAATATTGAATACTTATCCTGCATTGTGAAAATGTTTTAAGTACTTATATCGTCCAACCCTAATGATTTACAACAATGTTAAACCCTTGAGTAACAGGACACCCTCCACTTCCCATAGACTTATAAAGCTGAAAATGGAAGCGTTTAGAGGTTTGCTGCCTCTTTTGCATCATACCCATTTTATTGTATCAGATAATGCTATGAATAAGACTGCTTTAAGGAGGTGCTTTTAAAACAGGTGATGGCAGCTTCTTTTGATAGACAGAGCTTGGAAGTCATATTGCAAGACCTTAGAACTGCGCTGAGATGTTTCAGAGAAAAGCAGCTGTTGAAGGATAGTGGATAGGATTATATATTTACATAAACTCATGAGTTTGGACCACACAAGATACAGTTTCTTTGTAAAGAATTCCAGACGCTGGAAAGTTCTGGAATCTCAGCATCTGGCAGTGTAAGACCAGCAGAGAGTTACATAAACAACACTCAGACATACTAAATAAACTGCAGTACATTAACACTTTATTTTGAATACTGAAATACAAGGAAAAAAGAGAAATGACATTAACACAAAGTGTGCTTGAGGCAAGCCATGTTAACAAGAATGATAAAACCATAAAAATAGAAAAACTTGGCAGCAGTCTTTCACAAGCTCACATTGGCTTGAATAACTTGCTCAGAATTAGCAATGACTGCATTAAATTAGGTTTCAAACCCAGATGGTCAGCTAAGGGTATGTATACACGGAATGAGAATGACATCCTGTTGGTTCAGACATTGGGGGTGCAATCAGTTGCCTGTATGACCATGTGCTACTCCTCAGTTGCTGCTAACCCTGGTCATGCACTTATAGACTGTTAGTTATACATCACAAAGAAATTATGTATTGTTATGCCATAAATGAAACCCAGTTATGTGACATTTGAGTAACATCACTATGAACTACACAAATGGGAGTAAAGCTGAACTCCATCCTCAAGAGTACAGCTGGTTCTGTCTATAAAGCTCTGCACAGTGATTAGAATCAGAGGTTATCACAATATAAGAAGATGAAGATGAACAGGAATAAGGGGGGGAAAAAAGGTCAGTTTTTTCTAAATACAGGTCCTCGCAGAGGATAAAGGCCCATGCAAACCAACACTCAGATCAGAAGCAGATCAAAAGGAAAAGACAGAGGTACACTCTGGTCCATTTCTAAGGCCATGAGAGGGGAACTTTAGACTTGGGTTGATTTGGCTCATTTCTAAAGCTCCCCATGAGCTGCAGAAGTCTGGCATTGGATGAAGAGGAATTGGTTCGACTAAATGTCAAGAACAATAGAAGCACAGTTTAACAGAATGTTTGGCTTATCTGGAACTTGATTAACAGAAAGAATGCAAATGTCACCATTCAATAGCTGTAATGGTAAAATCTTTGGAGAACTCAAAGATTTGTTGGCAGTCACTTTGCTGTATCCATAATAAAAACTCGAACAAGTACAAGGACTAAGACTCAATCAATTGCTATTATCATCTCTGCCGTTAGTCAGTTCTGGAACTGTGCTTTCGCTCTCATTATCATACAGTGGGGAGCTCTGGGATGCAGGAGGTTCTTGTTTTAAAGGTGTGTCATTTTTTTCTGTATTTTCGTCCCAGTCTTCCTGGTTTTCTTGGCTGAGGCAATGTTGTGGGGGGCTTACAGCAGGTTCGTCAGGCAAGGTAGACTGCGAGGACTCTGAGAATATACAATATATCAGCAAATCAGCCTTGAGAACATTCAACAATAAACTGGCTAATTTAAAGAATTAGACAAGTTAAACAAGCATCAAAGAATGTTAGATGACTGATGTTCGTACTGCAGATCAGATGAAGCATATCATGCCTATCGGGTTATCTGCTACAATGATGTATTTGAAAGTAGACCATCAGTAATATTGTAATGTACTATTGTAATTTAACAATATAATTACATTATATTGCTCTGCTAATACATAATGCAAGTTCTATGCATATATTATAACCAGTCACCTTGCTGTTTTTGCCGGGCCAGCCTCCTTTCCAGGGCCAGCTGTTTGTTGAGCTCAATACGCCTCTGCTGCTCCTCAGTAAGAGTGACTGGGGCAGGTGCAGGAGTGGAATGGATAAAAGGATCTTCAGAGAAGCCTCCATCTCCAAATGGCTCTACATCTTCCTGCAAGTGGTCCTCAGCTTCAACTAAAAGGAGTAATAGTATTACATTATTATATTACACACACACACACACACACACACACACACACACACACACACACACACACACACACAACAATACATGCCTATTAACTACTAGTAGAAATTAAATGCTAACAACATAGCATCATGTTTCTCACCAACATTATTTCCAATGAAATCCTCATGTATCAGAGGCATGTCCAGTCGTATTCGTTTAAGACATGTCTAGGGAGAAAAGGGGTAAGCTGACATCATTTCCAGTGTCTTTGACTTAAGCACAATTTCAATAATGACAATATTTGAAAAGTAGATGCTCTTAAGATCCACTTAAGATCCCTGATCTTCATAAAGACTTAATGTGAGTGAAGGGTTACACTGGAGGAAACAGACAGCTGCTAAATTTACTACCAATCTGGAGGCATTCCAGTAGTCCAGCAGGCCTCACCTGTACATCCTTCTTGCCACCTAGAACCTCTAGTTTATCAATGAAGTCCTCAAATTGAAGTTTGGGATATAATCTGTGTGCCCAGTTCTCCATTTTCAGCATGAGAACCTTAAGATCTTCAGCCTAAAAATTAGTGGGATGAAACAGACACATTTCTATGAATATTTGTTATTCACAGATAAGGCAAGACAAATAAGGCAATCAACAAACACTTAGTATGTCACACTGATCACTCACCTCATGTCCTTTGCCTTTAAATTTGACATTATCAAACAAGGTACGTAAAGCTGGAAGTCCTCTTTCAGACAGGAGTCTGTAATAAGAGAAAAAAAAGAAAAACTGGTAAAGTAGTTGGTATATCAGGCTTCATTTTTATCCACATAAAAATTCTGATTAAAGTAATGACCACTCCAAAATAATACCTCTGAGAGTCTAGTTTAGGTTGGGGTCTCCTGACTGTTCGCCTTTTAGCGACTGGAACCTCTGGTAACTTCGACACCTCTCCTTGCTCCTCACCTAAATGCAAAGCACATTTAGTGACTCCAAAAAACACACCTTAGCAACATAAAGTTCAGCAGTCTTGATAAAAAGGGTGCCCTGACCAGTGACTGCACATATCTTACCCTCCCCATTGGCAAATGGGTCCTGCTCTAGGTTACCGTCCCCAGGGGACAGGGGTGGCGGAAGAGGGGGAAAGGCCTCATCTTCTATTTGATCATAGTCTGGGATGTCAAACAGACCATTTTCTAATGGATCAAGCATAGTGCACCGAGCCTGGAGAGAGAAATCCGTCTTCCATTAGCTTAGATGAACTATGGGCTTTAACAAAAAAACCCATGTAAGGATCTGCTGAAAGAGCTTTAAAGGGCCCATAAAATTTATTTAAAAAAAAATTCATTATTCATTAAAATTATTTTCATTCTTCATTAAAAAAAAACCAAACAACCAAAAAAAACCCAAAAAAAACCAAGAGCTTAATGTAATGTGTAAACATGGTTGAAGTTTCAAGTAAAATAAACTTAAAATGCAGAAAATGGGCTTTTTAAATTAGACTTCATACATCTAGGAAGCTCTGAGAGTCGGTTCACCCCCACCGGTAGCATCACATGAAGTTAATATTTCAAAATCTCATGTCATTAATAACATAAATTACAGCAGTATATTACGAACACAAGAAGTGTACTTTTTTGTTTTGCTGGACTTGCTTCCTTATGCCTTGATTTTTAGGATTGAGTGTAGAAAAAAAATCATTATGTGGAATTAGGAATGGGTGACAAGGCAAAATATCATATAACGATACAGTATCATTGAGCCACATTGCAACATTGCTATCAGAAACTGCGTACAATTATTTTAATGCAAAATTTCACCGCATTGCACTAAATTCAATTAAACAGGACTAACATTGTGTTTTCTTTATAATGTAATACACTTTGATCCACGATGTGCTCAGTAAAGCTTATTGTTTATCGTGATAAGTTTTGTTATCATGATAAACAATAAGCTTTACTGAGCACATCGTGGATCATCAAAAATAAAATAGCATCTTGGAATAGAAATTCCTATCACTTGCAATCAGAGTCAACTCCATAATTCCTGGAATGGAACAGACCTACATTTAGGAGTTCGCTCTAGAATGACTGTCTAATAGCTAAAAGCTATTAAACTGAGTAAAACAAATCCAATAACATTCTGGAGCAGGTCAGCTGATGTAAGAAGCAGCAAGCAGGAAAACTTGTTAAGCTGACATAGGTTTTGTCTTTTGGAGCTAAATATACACACTTAAAAGAAGTTGCTTCTTCAAAGGTTCTTTAGTAAAGGGAATGGTTCTGTTTAGAACTGAGTTCTACAGAGAGCCATTTCATTCTTAAATGGCTCTTTGCATGATGAAATTGTTCTTCAGATTGATGGAGAATGTGTTATACGTGATTATATATAGAACCTTTTCGAAAATGGTTCTATATAACCTAGCACCAAAAAAAAAGGTCGGATATTGTTACGAGCTTGACACTGTGACAACAGCAGAACCCTTTACAACCATATAACCTACACATCCATCAATCTAAAGAACCATGTCATCCTTCCCACCATTAACCGCTAACATTAGCTGTTACTGTAGGTTAAAAACTGAACCAACACAACTTATACATGTGTTATGTTTAATGTAGTTAGTTTTGTATGGTAGGTATTATTAGTTGTAATCACAACGGTTAGCTCGCTAGGTGAGCTAACACCCACTCAGCGTTGGTCCAATACAAAGGCAGGCAGTCAGTCAGTCAGTCAGTCGTGTGTTTGGCGCCAATATCAGCAGTATGAGCGAGCTAACAGGACAGGACGCTGGCAGCCTGGAGTTATTCCGAGATATCTACATTTTTATTCTTAATGACAGCTGTTCGAAACTGCAGTTAAGCCTGTGTGTCTATGTGAGCGGAGAACGTGTATTTTAGTCTGTTCCTTCTCACATTAGCTCCGTAACTCCGCTGAAGTATCCGCTCGTTTACATTAACAGTCACATGTAAGCTAACAGCAGTGAGCCTCATTCAGATTACTCCACACCCTCTCAGGCTCCAGTAAGGTAAGCATTAAACAGAAACAAAATTTAACTCTCTCGCCCTGCTCTGTCTCGCCGCAGTGCTGTCCTGAAAACTATTTTAACAGGTTTGAAAAGCGCAAACTGTATTTACCTCAGTCCGAGCCGGAGCGAATCGGCTTCCCTGTTTCTGCCGGTGTTTTTCAGGGCCAATCAAAACGCAGGAAAGCGCTGCTTCGTTTAAGCCGTTCACCGTGTTTCCAGATCACCTGGCGCCACTTAGCGACCACACAGAGCTAAACCGCTTTCCTTTATTTCTAAAACGAGTATGTAGCCTGTTGGACTTGCGGAAGCCCATTCCACAGAAAAATTAAATAATAAAAAAATCCAGCACCTAATTATTAAGTGAATCGCTGTGCCATTATTTCGGGTAACTAAATCTTTATTCTGAGATACTATCTCATTCATTTAAAAAACGAAAGCATTACTTTAAGATGCTATCTCATTAATTTGAAATGCTTTCTCATTATTTGAAAAACGTTCTTGTTATTCTGAGAAGATTTCTCGTTCTTTTGAGAAGTTTTCTCATTATTTTGAGATACTTCATGCTTTTGAGATGAACATAAATAATAAATAAAATAAAATAAAATAAATAAAAAATATATACGAATATGAATTATGAGAAAGCATATCAGAATAACGATATTGTTTCTCAAAATAATGATAAAGCATAATAATGACATAGTATCTCAAAATAATGACTTAGTACCTCAAATTAATCGTATAATTTCACTTAATAATGAAAAAAAATAATTAAGTGGTAGATTGAGTGCGAGGAATGGGCTTTCATAAGGACTACAGCTGAAACACTTCTTTGGATTTTTGTTTTGAATGTGTAATATAGTTCTGGGCGAAAAAGTGTCTATAGTAAAGGAAAGCGGTCAGTTTGCCTGCTGTTTTCGGTCAGAATGTAGGTAACAGTGAATTAGAGGTGATGTACGCTGCATTTCAATTTGCACAGCATGATGTGTCTCGTCGCCGCCATATTCAGGTATATTTGACACTACATCAACGATCAAAATGATTAACTGACCGTAAAAGACAGAAATGCGGTATACATGAATGTTTTCCTAAAGCGGACTACAACGCCTGTCGCGCATGTAACGTCACTATCACCCATTCCACGGAGCGGCTCCGGCACTGAGCCATGGGGTTTGTAGTCCAATTGTAGTTTTAATATTTACAGTTATATTTCTTAGCAAAATGTTCTCCAGTTATTCTGTATTCATTGGTGAAGTTCCTATATGGTTGCAAAATGGCTGTTTCACAAAGGTTCCAGCTTTAAGTGAACTTTACTATGTTTTAAAAAAATCCAATAGCGATTCAAAATGTTTTCAATGCGACCAGCAGATGGCATAAGTCTGCAGTGTCCCTCCCCATACTGGTATAAAAAAACAATACTAATTTTACTTTTAACGGTATTGATAAGTAACAGAAGATTAGATAGCGCTTTAGATTGCTTTAAAATAAAATAAAAACAGAAAAAAATCACAAAAGAATAAAACATTCCAACTAAAACAAGTTATGTTTGGGTTGTGAGAAATTATTATTGCATAGAGTAGCAGCACTCAGGAAGCCTGGGTTAATTACCTTTATTAATGCAAACGTAAATATCATGTGATATTGGGTTTTCCACTTTCAGGACTTTTCTGTGTAGACTGCACTGAGAAGTGTAGCCTACCTGTCATAACTGACTGACTGATGGATGTATTGAGTGGGTGTGCTTGTGTACAGTCATGCAATACATATGAATAGAAAATGAAACGCAGGGTTAAGACCTTTATTGATGATATATGTCTTATTATTACATTATTATTTTTTGCCATGCATTATATCCACTTATATCCACTATCAGTGTCATGTCACAGAATTGCTTTTCCCCACTGTGCTTCAGGTGTATTACAACAAAAACAGACTTGCTGTTAAAGTATCATCCACCCATTTTCACCTCATGTCAAACACCAAACCTCTAGCTATCCACTGAGAAACTGGAGTGTATTGGGGTTGTTTTCCAACAGGACATTTTCCAGCAATGCATTAACATGTACACATGTAGCCTCCTGTCATTACTTTGCCATCAGTAATGTCATATAAAGACATTGATTGGCGTGCAGCAGTGTCAGTACCAGAATCTCGCATAACTTAAGACTTAGCTTAAGGACTCAGCTTCAGAGACCACATATGAGGGAGGAAGGTACTGAAGAGACAGGAAAGAGGTAAAGAAACAGTTGTGAAGAGGAGACGTGGCTTAGAAGCGACCTTTTAGCAGGAACATGAGGAAAATAGCACAGATCAGAATACAGAGGGTGCACACAGTGGGAACTACAATCTCTGTCACCATCTCCATGTGGCTGGTCAGTGGATCTAAGAGAAGATAAGAGCAAGACTTAGACCAAGACTTAGACTTAGGAGATATCCACTGGATGTGTGTGTGTGTGTGCTTTTTCTTTTTTAACCAAACTAGCATATATATATATATATATATATATATATATATATAAGAGAAAAAGCATGCAGTAGTACAACTGAAAAACATTTTAAGGTACTAAAATTATGGAATTCTGGCACAAGCAAATTGTGAAATACTGAAAAGTAGTCCCTAGTACCTAAACTTCATCATGCACTGGCCAAACCTTTGGCATTTCTGCATGTTCCTTATTTTCCTTGGATTTTCTTCTAGCTGGAGGGGCAAACAAAAGAAAATTCCTGTTAGAGATTTTGCTCTTTTTAATGTATGGACATCTAATTTAATCTAGACTTTAATGTTAGTTTATTGCCTGTCTTTAAATGATATGTCTAGTCCCTAAACAGCTCTTTTTCACTTAAGAGGCTAATATGTAATTCAAACATAGTGTTGTGCTAGCACTGTTTGCAGGATTTCCCCTTATTGTTCCTATCCATCCCTGATACTCTTACTGGCAACTATCCACCTAAATTTGCCAATGAGTACACCATTCTCCGTTGAGTTTTCTTTTATTTGCCCCCGCTAGAGCCTTACTGACCTTAAAAAGTGTGCTAAAGTTTGCTAAAGTGTACTGACCTGCTGCTAGCAGCTGATTACTGGAGGTGCATGTTTCTGTTGCCTTCCTTTTCCAGCTCTCAATCTGTAGTGGACATAAATACAGTTAAACCCCAAAGAATATAAATGAAACATTAATTTGAAGGGCTGACAAAGACTAATACATGTTATTTAATGGCTACATCTACATTTAGTGTTATTTTAGCATTTTGTTAGTAACCATTACTAAGACCCATACCTCTCTCTGATTGGGAAAGCCGTTGGAGCTGATGATGCGTTTGTAGTACTGAACAGAGGCTTTTGGGTAACGTGGTTTATTTTTGCTCCTGAAGTCCACGTAGTACAGGCCAAATCTTTCAGAGTAGCCCTCGTCCCATTCAAACTTGTCAAGCAGGGACCACGCAGTGTATCCTTTCACATTTACGCCGTCGTTAACCGCTGATGGGATAAGAAGTTAGAATTCGTTCTGCTTATTCACTTGAATTAGTGAAACTGGAACATGTTTTACAGGCTGTTGTTATATAACAGATGGTCTATGTCTTGAGGCTTGACACTGACCTTTGAGCATTTCATTGATATAATCCTTGAAGTACTGCATTCTCCATTCATCACACAGATCTGTGCACATCATCTTCTCTGACACGCCATTTTCTGTCACATAAATCATAGGGTTTCCGTACTGGGTCTAAGGAAAATAAGAAAGAAAGTATGCTGTTTTTGAAGACTTTTCTGGTTAAATCATAGACTTTACTCTGTTCAGCTCAGGTCTTCAGTGGAGCCACACTTAGTTTCCACTTTATTAGAAAGTAATAGGTTGTGGTTTCACCTTGCTAGTGTAGAGATAGAAGATGTAGGCCATCTGTTGATATACACTTTGTGTTATCTATCGTCCAGCCCTGCATCAGTGGTCAGTTTCTGACCACAGAGCTGCTCTTCGCTTGATATTTTTGGGTGTTGGACCAGTCTCAATTGTCATGAATTTTAGCTGAACATTACTTGCCATATAAATAATTATGAGTAATTCTTTAACCCTTTAAATGGCTATGGCCCACCAGCAGGCCCAAAGTATTATTACACATTTCTTTAACTTAAGAATAGCTCAACCAGTTTGCATTGAAGTCCCTGTAGTTACTGAATAACAAGGCTTTGTATGTAATAAGCCTGGCATTTTAATAGGCTAACTGCTTGTTATTAACCAAAATTGGCCAAACTATTTTACTTTTTAGTGACCAAAACGTACTAACTCTGAACTGACAAAAGAAACAGCTTACTGCCTGCTTACTGCCTGCTGCTCTCTAAAGGTTTCAGAAGACCTTAATGTGTCTTAATAAATGCGTTTTCTGCTTTTTTACATGCATTTGCCTCAACACAGCGGGTGAAGAAACACCCAATTCACCTTCTATTTGTTGTAATGTAAACATATGCTTGTGAACGATAACAATTGTGGAAAATGATTGCAATCAGCTAAAATAATTGTGATTTGCTGAAATAATTGTAATTAGGTGATGATGTAATAATTGTGACAGGCCTAGTCTCAACCTAGCAGTGATGCAGTGATGAATAGCAGTAGCCCATATGTAAGGTCCATTATATGGTGAAGTATAATGTATATCTATATAGTGGACCTAATGGACTTCAGAAAGTGATCAGTGGCTGGAAGGGAGGGCTTTCTAATCAAATGGGCAGTGAGAGTATGCCACAACAGCTGTCACATGATTCAGGGTGCATATCCATTGCATGTCCACCTTAATGGCAGGGTCTGGCCCAGATTATTTCCAGTACCTTCACAAAGTTGAGCAGGCGACGGAAGCCCCAAGGCACAGAGTAGAGCCATTCGGATCCAGGATCAGGCCATTGTGGATCCACTAGCTGAGCCAGATCCCGGTCAGTGAAGTAACTGTTCCCGCGGATAGATGGGTAGTTCTTTTGTGTGATGTAGCGAGTGGTGAAGTGGCCGATGCCCAGGAAGTCACAGGTGCCTTTGATGTAGCTCTTCTCCTGCGGGTTGAAAGTGGGCAAGCGGGAGCTGCCAAGGCCCTGCTGAGCGCTCTTCCTGCCTGGAGAAATGGACCCGATCATCAAAACGCTTGGAAAAAAAAGTCAATCATTCTCGGGTGGGGGTGCACGATATGGCATATGACATGTTTAAAGGTCTGCCTGCATTATTTTTTTACCAAAATAATCACTCATCTAGAACTCTGATTGGTCATGATGTTCACACAATAAAAAGCATTGTAGTTACAGGGCTTACAATACAGTCAAATGCAAGAGTTTAGGTATATTTCAGTGATTTTTTAAGTAAAAACAAGTTAGCATATTCTCTTAGAGAACACACTTTTAATGCACCTTTAAAATGTGCCATGTACAAAGGTTATGACACAAATAATACATTATATAAGTTTGTTTACTGTAGCATTAACTTTCTTTAATTTAGAAAATCAATGAACCAAAATTTGACTAGTGGTACCCAAACTTCTGCATACGGCTGTATATTGTGCAGCCTATGAGTTATTGGGAGATTTTTAATCTTTGACATCTAATGCCTTATTAACTTGCCTACATAGTCTTTCATCACTTGAGGATAGTCTCCATTGAAGAGTGGTGTTGCAAACCAGCCCAAGTAGAACTGCATGTATCGATCTGCTGCTTCAATGTCCCTCTGGTTTGTGATGTCCACTGGCTCTCCCCAGTCAGCAGATAGAGAGATGCCCACCATACCTGCAATCAGGTAGACCCTTCAGCTTTCTTGATAGTGCAGTTATCCAGATTGTCTTACTGAGGTGTAGAATGGATCCTGTATCCTTGCTGTACCCTTGACAGTGGGACTTTGCACAATGTTTGGTGAGAAGTAAGGCTTTAGAAATGCATTGATTGATCAATTCTAATCAACTGTTATAATATTCAAAGTATGCACACCTTTTAAAATTAAATTTTCAGGCTATACATGTAAAAATAAAGCTTAGTGCATTGTGCTCATTTTCTGTATTCCACTGTTGTGTAAATAGTTACTCCAGTCATATTCAAGCAGAATTTTTTTGATAATAAAGTAATGAAACTGAATGGTTGTGAAATTTGAGATTGCATAATGCAAAGAATCGTTTTGTGAAGAATCTTAATCAAACTGAGTTATTTTGAGGTCTGAGATTTACACCCCTAATTTTGAGTGGCCGTTACCTTTTTGCTTGCTTCGCCACTGGGTGTCGTAAGTGTGCCAAACTTTAGCATGTGCCTGTAGGTTTAAAAAGGAGGAAACTTGAGCTGATCTTTAGTGCAAAGTATCAGACATTATTATAACAATGTGATAACCATCTTCCAGTTTATGTTGATTGCATCCCTCCTTTGAAAAAAGATCCTTATTTACCTTAATGATGTTGTGGGCAGCCTTGTAGGCGCCAGTGCCTTTCAGTTTCAGTCCAGGAGCATGTTCACCAGTCTCATAGCCCTCAACTGCAATTGACTGCAAAGACAATGGGCCTGTATGATGTAAGTCCATTTTGAAAGCATTATCCGTTGTAATCAACTAGTTTCACAGTTAGGAAGACTGGCTCTTTGGCTTTTTCATATTATATGGTATGACTAGCTCTTTGCAGAGTGCTGGACATCTTTGTATTCACAGAAGCTAAAGCATGACAAACACATAACAGCATAAAGCTAATAATGATGCAAGACGTAATGCTTAGGCATCTTTACAGTTTCTCGTTACTGAAATGATTACAGTAAAGGAGATGATAGCTAAAATGTTGACATTCAGGTGAATGATAGTCTTACCCATGGGTTGTTGAACGTGATCCAATATTTCACACGGTTGCCAAATCTCTCAAAGCACAGGTTGGCATAGTCATTAAAGAAATTGATCATGCTGCTGTTCTGCCACCCACCATATTTGTCCTCTAGAACCTGGGAATGCAGAAGAATTCAGAAGCAATCAGTGCTCCGGATGGAAATATCATAATCTCCATTCCCAGCCAAAATATATACACAAATAGTGAAGGGACTTTAGTAAGTAACTGTTATGCTCTTAGAAACAAAGGTACCAAAAAGGGCTCTTCGCACAAAGCCATAAAAGAGTCATTTTTGGTTCACTAAAAACATCTTTTAACGATTTTTGTACAAGAGATGAGTGAGTGTGAAGAACATTCTGAAAGTTTAAAAAACCTCCATAATATTAAAGTTCTCAGAAGAATGTAAATGTTCTAGGAACAACCATCAAATTGGTATAGACGCTTTACATTATGCAAAGGTTCTATAAACCTTTAAAAGGTACTTCACACCCACAAATCTCTTTTTCAAACATTTAAAGAACCAAAGATGTTTCTTCTATGGCTCTGTTTAAAAACCTTTTTTGCAGCACCTTTTCAAAGTGTGTATGGTTATTAGCCTGGGATAAACCAATGCAAGTCAGTTTTCTTCTATTGTAAAATGTTACCTGGGGCAGATCCCAGTGATATAGGGTTACAATAGGGGTGATCTGATTCTCCAGCAGCATACTGATGAGGTTGTCATAGTACTGTATTCCCTTCTGATTGATTTGGTCAGCTAATAAACAGAACAATCTGTCAGTAATGGCTTGGTACGTATATAGATTACATAATAAGTTAATTTTGATTGAATAGTTGTTTTCCCCTCACACTTAATTCCTTTGGGCAGGATCCTTGGCCAGGAAATAGAGAAGCGGTAGTGGTTCAGCTTCATGTCCTTCATTAGCCCGATGTCCTCCTGTAGAAAACAAAGAAAAATAAATACATTCTTTATAGTAGAATGTCTTGTGCATACACCTGTAAATGTAGCTGTGTTGTGGTTTTATACTATATACATTGTCGCTGTCCAAAGAAAACCATGTATCTCCATTTTTGTTGATTTTTATTTTTCTACATCATTTCAACACACCAGCTGTCCTTTACATTGTGTGAAAATTTTATGGTAAATGGACTTTGAACTCAATTATTGATTTCCTTCAGGATCAATAAAGTATCTATCTATTTTTGGAATCTCCTGTTTTTTTCCTTATATTTTTCTTTGACATTCCCCTTCCTTACACAAGTACATTTAATCACCTCAGAAAAATCTCATATTAGATGCACATGAGAAAGAAATGTGTAAGGCAGTTAAGATGCGTTTGGGTTGTTGCTTGTGTGAATGTTTGTCTTTGAAGGGTAAGAATGTCAGTGAACCCTTGGAAACAGCTTTTATTTCGAGGACAGAGCTATAATCCGTTAGTTTTAAGATTAGAAGAATGGAAGATTTAAAGTAAATAAATGTTTCCTGCTTTTTTCTGACTCTAAAAATGAATATCTTGTACTTAATTGAATAAATGAAATGGTGCCTACACAGTACTGTACATTACAATGCATTACATTATACAGCATACATGTTAATACATTATAGGCTATATCACCTTGACTTTGTAGTAGCCGTCACAGGAGGAGTCGCCTGTGTCGTTCAGATAGATTTTGCCTTTTTTATGGGAGAATGCATCCCAGATGCTCATCCCTTTGCCATCTTTGTCCCATGCTCCCTCTGTCTGATATGCTGAGCTGCCAGCACCCCAAGAGAATCCTGTAGTGTAACATGCATTTGATCTTTGACTGATTTTAGATAAATGATAAATATCACTTCACCCACCAGAGGGAGCCAAAGAGTATTTTAACATCCAAATACAGCAGTAGAACAACTACTAATTTGAGCATTGAGCATCTTAATCAGATCAAACATGTTAGCTAGTTCCCTATGTGCTATCAGTTCATGTATCACAAAATATGTAATGATAGATCAATACATTATAAGTAGTAACAGTCTTTACGGTTACAGTGTAACGATTAACTTAGAATGTGTTACCAGTGGGGAAGGTTCCATAGTAGAAGGATCCCTTTTCGTTCTTGGTCCAGTCAAAGTCCTCAGTAGCAGACACACACAGCGCCAGCACTAGAACATGGCACACTCTCAGCAGTCTGCACTGTGCCATCCTTTTCCTCTTATATGGGTCAGTCTCTCACTAGTTACACCTGCACAAGAAAAACAGTCTGTCTCACAAGTTACACCTGCGTAAGTGAACAAGTCTGTCTACAGTTTCTAAAACAGTAAGTTCTACCAGTTATACTGGTAAAGATAAACATATCTGACTTCCATTTACACCTTCAGAGGTTAAACAATGTTTTCTACCAGTTACACACAGGTAAATAAGTCTGTCTTACCACTGACACTTGCACAGGTAAAAACAGTCTGTTCTACCAGTTGCACCTGCACTGGTAAAATCTACCAGTTTTCAACTGAACAGATAAAACAGTCTGTTCTACCATTTACACCTGCACTGGTAAAATCTACCAGTTTTCAACTGAACAGATAAAACAGTCTGTCCTCTCAGTTACACCTGCACTGGTAAAATCTACCAGTTTTCAAGTGAACAGGTAAAACAATCTGTCCTACCAGTTTTCAACTAAACAGGTAAAACAGTCTGTTCTACCAGTTACACCTGCACATGTAAAATCTACCAGTTTTCAACTAAACAGGTAAAACAGTCTGTTCTACCAGTTTTCAACTTAACAGGTAAAACAGTCTGTTCTACCAGTTTTCAACTTAACAGGTAAAACAGTCTGTTCTACCAGTTCACCTGCAACTGTAAAATCTACCAGTTTTCAACAAACAGTCTGTTCTACCAGTTTTCAACATAACAGGTAAAACAGTCTGTTCTACCAGTTTTCAAGTGAACAGATAAAACAGTCTGTTCTACCAGTTACACCTGCACAGGTAATACAGTCTGTCCTTCAAGTTACACTTGCACAGGTAAGCTAGTCTGTTTTACCAGTTACATTTGCAGAAGTAAAACAGCCTGTCCTACCATCACAGGTAGAACAGTCTGCCCTACAAGTTATACCTGTACAGGTAACATTATCTTGACTTTTATATGGTATGGCTATTTAGCACTCAATACAGCACTGTAAAAACAATCTCTCGTCATTTACACCTGAACAGTTAAAACAACTCCTTACTGTTCCCATCTGCAGAGGTAAAACACCCTCTTACAAGCTGCATCTCATCAGTCAACACTGTCTCGCCAGGCATCTTTTTCCACATTTGGTAAAACTGTTTCAGAGGGTTTTCTTTTTTTTGCCTGCTAAACCTGTACAATTAATATACATTCTCTCTAGTTACACCTCTATGGATAAGTTATTTTGATTCACTATTTCTGTATGAAAGCATTTTTCTGACATGTTTTACTTCATTACATTTACTTTGTGTGAACATTTCATGAAAAATAGGCCAAAAGAAATGGCCCAAAATCTTTACATTAGTACATTAAGTCATTACATTATCAGGTAAATTTTAAGATAAAGTTAGAATTTTGGAGATATGATGTTTTACTACGACAATGAAAGCTACTTAAAATGCCTTATGTTATTGGTAGTTTTTCCATCATGAGCATAAATCATACATATCGTTGCTGTCCGAAAAAGAAACCCTTCTCCTTTTCTCGAATTTAACGTTTCTATATCATTTGAAGCAGCGTATGATGAATGGAACGGTAGAATTCCTTCAAAATGATCCAGAATTTAAATTTCTCCTGTAAAGTTGCCACTTTGGAGATATGTATTCATATATATACACATATATGGACAGCAACACATCTGCCATTACATTAGCATAACATACAAGTAACATGTGAATGTTGAACTATGAATATTGAATCATGCCGCAGAATGCATCATGCCATTTTTCAGTTATGTAACTTACTCAGAGTGGTCAGCTTCCAAACCATGCAGGTGTAAGGCATACACATCCCAAACCAAATGGCCAGCACTTCTCATATGCAATCGGTCAAAAGCGCAAAAGAGGTATACATTTTGCAAACCCAGATTAGACCAAGTGAACAAGTTCTCATTTCAGCCAGCTGTACGACACGCTGACACAGAACGCTATCAGAGACAGAAAGTAGGTGAGCTTATCCAGAGCAGCCAATAAGAACGACATCTCAAAAAGTATTTATCCTTCAACAAGGGAATTTTAGATGTAATCAAAAGGACAAATAACTTGTAGACTATCTAGGTGTCCCCTTTTAACTCCAGTCACTGCAGTGTCCGGGCCTATCTCCTCTCTCTCTCCTTCCGCTCCTTCTCTCCTTCTCCCTCTCTCCCTCTCTCTCTCTGACCTGGACCACTCTGAACACATATACAGCCATACCTGCTCCACGCCTTGCATTTGTCTCTACTGGAATCTACTCCAAAATGCCAGAAGGTTGTCCAAGCTTCTGGACCTAATTCATCCTCACAATGCTCTCCAGAGGCGCTGTTCCACAGCCACAAAACAGCAGCGAAGCATCCAGCAGCAACGGGCCCTATTCAGGACCCCCCGTGACCCACACACGGCCACAAATAACCCCCATTCAGGCTCAATGGGGTGAGAGGGAAAAAGTGCTGCAGCAAACAGGTTCAATAGAAACAGAGATTTGACCCTGTAAGCAAAGTTAATGTTAGTGAGGATGATCCAGTGGTATGTGGGGGCCTGTAAGAGGTGAAACCTGAAAACATACAAACTACCAAAAATAAACCATAGTGCAATACTCTTAGCATGAAGCACTTGGTATACAATGATATAACATACAATATCCTATGATTTCTGTGATATTCAAAATGTAGTCGATCAGCCATATTTGGTGTCTGAAATTTGCTCCTTAGCTTTTGGACTGAAGCTTAATGTAGCTAACAAGTAGCTTATCCCACAAGTTAGCACCCTGCAAACTGCCTGCCAAAATCATCATACACTTGCATGTTAAATCATCTCAAATAGACCTGCTTATGTGCCTTCTGACACAAGTATGGACAAACTGAATGGAATGCTACTCCGTTCTTGGCTAGGTGACATGTTTCTGTCCGTTTTCATGTAAAATGGTATGTCATACAGTGTCATAAATAAATCTGTTTGTGATTACTTACCAACTTGGCATGGTATGAGGTAAGTATGTAATGATTTAGGGCTAACACTTTACTGCTACATAACATTAGCATGCACATAGCATAGGCATAGCAATGGAAGGTGTCATATGCTGTCATAAGCTGTCATGACACATAATGTTATATAAGTGTATTGTTACCAATAATTGTCATGACAGATGCCACAATGTTTGCTGTCATGGCAGCTTGTATCACACATTAATATTACTGGACAGTGATTGTAGTACTGAACAAAATCATATAATTCATGATTGCTTATGGCATGTGACATGACATATTTATGGCACGTTTTTGTTAATGTTATGTAGCAGAATTCTAGTAAAGTGTTACACATTTAGTTTTGCAGTTTGTGCAATGCTAATGCTAGCTTCTATTACCTGCTAGCCATGCAGCTCAAGTGTAAAACTAAAAAAGGAAACTGCAGACCAAACATGTCTTGGTTTGTTCCACAAAAATGAAAGACTGGAAATAAAATGGTTCACATAAAGCTGACTGTCCAATGAATTAGAGTTAAATGACAGCAACATAATGGTACATGTTACGAGTATTTGGGGCAGAAATCAATATATGAAATCTCTTGCTGAAGTGTTAAAACATGGCTTGTGTTTGGGGCTCTACTGTAAATGCATTTTAGTGGATGAAATATAGAGGGAAGACAAATGGCATCATAAGCAACTCAATTTAAAATCATGCATTCATGCATTTTTTTCCTGCAGGCCAGGGTCTTTTGGTCTGATTCTCATAAGCATTTATTTTCATTACTAAATAATTGATTAATCTCTAAGCTGCTCGTGTGAGTGTGGATATATTGTTAGTGAAATGAGCATCCCCTGCAATACTGTAATGTTTCAGAGTTGCCCAATATGGTTAGTATTGAGCGTTTGTGTCAGTGCATGTGGTAGTGCATTTGAAGAGAGGAAAGCATTGTTGTAGTACTGCAGAAAAAATGCTGAATTGTTGAGGAAAAGTGTTTACACTGCACTCCCTGCTTTGTGTGGGTGTGTAACTGTGGGCTTGTGTGTGTGTGTGTGTGTGTGTGTGTGTGTGTGTGCATGTGTAGAAAGGGTTATGGAATATGCACCATTGCCTGTAAATGCATGAGTGAATTCTTTTGCATGCAGTACCTTGTTTGTGTGTGTGTGTGTGTGTGCTCATACTGGTCATTGGGTTCTGTCAAAAACACAGTTCACCATATGTGTTGTGCACTGTGTTTAGCATATCAATGCAGAGAGAGGCTGTGGAGAGACAGGCCGAAACAGAATGAGCATTCTAGTACTCCCTTATTCTCTTAAGCTGCTGTATTTAAGGGGCATTTTTGTGCCCTCCACGAGCTGAAATGAACATCTTTACTAAGGTCCCCGGACTAGCCCAACAAACCAGGTATGTTAACACTGTGTTCGGAAGCAACAGCAGCACCAAACGTTGCTATATATTGAGTTCTGAACAAACCTCTGAAACCTCTTAATCTCTGAAAATCTCCAAACCTTTAAACAACAATAGATCGGTATGGTTGATCTGAGCTTTCCTACTTCATGGACAATTCTACTTCTCAGATAAAAAACATCACACACTAGTCCAGTTTGTAAAATGTGCTACATTCAGACAATTTTGACCTCTCAATTTGATAAACTATCATAGTTTTAGAGGAATTTGATAAAATGACCAGATGAGGCCTAATAAAGTTCACAGATGTCTAGTTCTGCCAAATCTTCATGAAAAAAATCATAGTAGAACAATGTTAACTTGCAGAGATCTTTTTGCTTGTCTGTTGTGGCGAATTCATCGCATACTGTATGATCCTACTCTCTATGATTGTATAACTCTGTTCTCAGTGATAAATGTGTCCCTCTAGGATATGTTTCAGCATGGTATTGTGCGTGAAATGTGCTCTGGCAGTAATTTGTGTCCCTCTTTTATGTGTCCTACAGCAAGCTGGGGTCTGTGCTCCAACGTGCCTTTTACGGGTCCAGCGGGAGGGTGAGTCATCTCTCTATATTTGCATAAGTCAAATGCCTGGTGATGTGGTTCCTCTGCTTTTCCTTATTTCTGACTCAAAGTTCAGTAAACATTTTGCTGTGATGTCATTCGTGTGCATATTCAATATACCATAAAATCCTGATCCTAGATCAGCACTCCCAAGTCCAAAAAAAAACCTCCTAGAAAGCTCCTGGCTTGATTTCCACTGAAAGGAGTATACTTAAGTTAAATCTGTGCCTTCTGTGTCAGGTGACCCTTTTCGAGCAAAGGAACTTTGCTGGCCGGCGGCTGGACCTGAGCTCGGACTGTCAGAAACTCAGTGACAAGAACTTCCCTGAAAGATGCAACTCTGTGCAAGTGGAGAGTGGAGCGTGAGTACGCAGCACACACATACAAACAAACTGCTGAGCGCTGTGAATACATTTCAAGGTGGCTTTCACATCACTACCACAAATTGAAGTCACATTTTCACTTGATCTTGACCTGAATAGGCATCAAAATGTATCAATAAAGTTAATCTATAAGTTAATAGGCTAATCACATCTATAACATGTAGCATACCGAATAGACCAGACAAGCACACAGACTATTAACAAATACTTAATTAAGGGACTAATAAATTGTTATAGGTTTCAGCCAGTTATCACTTAACAACATCACTTGTTGAGTCAAGAAAAGTGTAAATCTCTTCATGACTTGTAGATCTGACCTGTTTTTATTGCTCCTCTTGTTTTTTACTACATTGCCTTTGTATTGTTGATCTTTCTTTGGTTGAGTGCTCTGAACCATTACAGCCATATTTACTGAAGTGCTTATAAATTGCTATAATGTGTGTGGGGGTGTGTGTTTATTGTGAGTAGCTGGGTGGGCTACGAGCATGAGAACTTCCGTGGGCGACAGTACTTGTGGGACATGTCAGACAGGGGAGAGTATAACTGCACAGAAAAGTGGTGTGCCCAGGGTGACCGCATCGCTTCTGTACGCTCCGTCAGACAGGTGAGATGTAAAAAAAATAGCTCTGGTTCTCTTTTGAATGTTAAAACATCATGGTCCTCACTTATATTGGCTTTGCATTAAAAGTGAAAGCAATATTGAGACCCCACTGACAGAAACTCAATGTGTGAATGATATGTGATCACAACTGCAGGTGTCAATGCTCATATCAAAGCCTTCTTTGCCAAAGTGGTAGCTTTAAAGGAGAAGAAATAAGCTTTCCAAGAAATTTTCGACAATTTCTCTTAGTCCATTAATCAGGAAAACAATGTAATAGGAAGCTGCTTTAAAAAAAAACAAAAACAAAACAAAAGATGGAGTTACAAGGTTTTGATATGACAGCGATGACTTGCTTGACCTCACTAACAAACAAACCCATGTGACCAATTCAGGACACGAACCTTGCCCGTGCCCAGTTGTTTGAAAGGTCGGGTTTCTCCGGGAAGAAGGTCGAGCTTCAGGATGATATTCCCAACATGATGACCCGATACAGCTTGAACAGAGCCTCCTCAATCAGGGTGCTGGGTGGAGCGTGAGTAGTCTAAAGTCTACATTACTTCTTCTGTTACTTGTTAGCCTCGTAGGTCTACATATTTTTTCTACAAACTTCCATTTTTCCAGCTACAGTCTATATGGAAATAGGATCTAGCCTAGTTCTTTCAAACTTGCTTATATTTATGTGTTTGTGTTTGTGTTTGTATATGTAGCTGGGTGGTGTACCAGGAACCCAACTACAGAGGACCACACTTCATCCTGGAGAAGAAAGACTACAACAACTTCTCAGACTGGGGCGCTCAGAGCAGCACTGTGGGCTCCATGCGCAGGGTCCGTTTCAGCTGAACTCCTCCAATAACTCTTTACAAAATCCCTCCCAAAACCCCCTCCCGCTGATGTTTTTACACTCTACATGAAACAAGCAACTCACATCCCAACAGAAAAACTATTTTTTAGTAATAAACGCCTGAAAAAGACAAACACTGTCTACACTGTGGTTCATTGAGAATTGTCAGTACTGATGTATGACTGAGGGTTTATGCGCCCTCTAGTGATGTGTTCTGTTTTGTGGTTCTTTTGATTTCAATAGCACAACAGTCAGTTTTTTATTAACATGTCAGTTTTGAAGATTGAATTATATAATGACAATAAGTCTTGCCTAACAACATATCAGACTTTATGGAGTAAATGTTCATGGTCTAAGTCTCAATAACATCAGTGAACAGCATCAGTTGTAATAGGACTGTGACAGGGGAGATATAAACTCCACTGGTCTTGGATTGATGTTTATTCTTATCTAGGCTGGTACCAAATGAAAGGTATTGCCCTACAGTGCCGGTAAAAATGATCACATTTGCTCCCAGTTTGAATTATGTCTCCACAATATGCAGTTAATTGGCCAAAACAGCTACTGAAATCCAGCTAAAATAACTAACTTCAAATTGTTTTTTATTTCTTTGTTGTTTAAAAGTACCCAACTGAATGGCCACTTCAGTATTTAATCCACAACATCCAACCAAATCCTGCTTTTTATAAACAGACTAATCAGTTTCAAATCATACTTTTATTTTATTTTGTTTACTGTTTACTTCCCAATATTTAATCTAAAACAGCTACCCAAATCTTGCTGCTTAGGTAAAGACTAAAGTAACCATTTTCAAATTGTGAGTTTATATTTCATTTAGTTTGTTTACTCTTTAAAAAGTCTTTACAAGAAATGAAATGCAATACTCTGGATCTGCGTCTTAATAAGTTTTGCCTGACAACATATCGGAGTTTATTAAGTAAATGTTGATGGTCTTAGTCTCAATAACATCTCTGAACAGCATCAGTTGTTATGGGACCTTGACAGGGGGGTATAAACTCACTGTTTTCACCCTGTGACCTAGAGCAGTGCTTAAAGAGCTTAAGTCCTCACTGGCGTAAACGCTTCAAGCACAGCTGTAGACCCTTCTGTGTACATGAGAGCATACGATAAGGAATTCGTCCGGCTTTAGCGCAGGGTCCTGGCTGCTACACACATGCTGGGTCCTGCTCCATGTATGCTGAGGAGAGGGTATTACTGTGAGCCGTGGGAGCTGCAGTTGCTGTCCTTCTGTCGGCCTGATGACACCGGGCTACGTCTCTGTCACAGCCGATGGTGCTGAGATATGGACTAGTGCCAGCTGATGCCTCTATTATTGCAGCGCCAGGAGAGAATGTGGCACTTTGCAGTGGACAGACATCAGCTTTTGCATTTTCTATTATAGAAATGAACCCCTTAACATTCCAGGCTTATTACATACTAAGGCTTATTCAGTAACTACAGGGACTTCAGTGCAAACTAATGAAACTTTTACTGGGTTATAGAAGTGTAGAATAAAACTTTGGGCCCGCCGTTGGGCCTATGGCTTGGTAAGGAGTTAGAGGACCTATATCCTATTTTTTTGTATTTTTCCCCCTTGAGACTTTTTATGTACCAAAAGAATCTTAATTTTAATGCACAATTACTGTTTAATTGCTGAATTTAGCATATGCAAAATAAATGAATAAATAAAATAACTGTATATATAAAATAAATGTATATATATGTATATATATTATGTTATATGTTATAACTTATTTTCAGTTAGAAAGCCAATAAAACATATCGTTTGACTTTTGCAAGTGTATGTAAATAACATCTCCTCTGACTAGCTGCCCTGTATAGTACCTAATTTAGAAAGTAGTCCAGACTGAAACACTCATTATAACTTCAACGTGAATGGGTTGACCTAGACTGCTGTTGGTTGAACAGGTAGATACGAAAATACATTGCTTTTTGTGACGTCACAAAAGCAAGGAATTCAAAACAGGCTGTTCTTGTAGCTGAGTTTCCACATATGGACTGGCGAGTGACTATTATACATGGAAACTTTAATATTGTTTACATACTACATCAAACTCTTTTTTTTTTGAACTGCAGTTTAAGCAGTTTAAGTTTAAGAAGGCAATGTGTCTCAATTGTATACTAAACACTAATACCATGAGGTATATACTGTATGTTACTCTTAGTAGTGTAAGATTTTAGCAGGTTAGTATACAAAATATTAACAAACCATGTTGTTTTGCACACAGGAAGTGATAAAGTGATGCTGCTATGCCGATATATGTCATATCAAGCTGCAACTTTGGCTTTTTTGGAACAATGTTTACTTATTCATTCTTCTTTTAGTTTTAACTCTTCTTTTCTTGCCATTGTGAAAACGTTTAACTCAGCGTCTGCCATGTTTTTAATGTTTCAGTTGGGAATAGCTCCTCCCTTTCTGCTTTACATAGCATGGTAGGATACAGTATCTATCAACATCATGCTCAATAACTGACTGATTCCAAGAATACATGCTGGATTTTTTCAGTATACTCAACTTTGGTACTTGAGAAGATACTACATGTCATCAAAAAACAGTGTAGTATGCAAATGAGATGCAATATAGAATTTGAGGAAATGTATCTGGTCTTCAAGCAGCTTAAAAGGCTTATTATTCAGTGATTAGTCACCATATGTGTATGTAATGTGTAACATCATAATACGTAAGTTGTTTATTAATGAGAGTAAGGAACTGAAGTGTAGGCCTACATACAGGTCTGTAGCATTTAAGGAGTTAAAGAAGGACGTCTGAAGGACTTCAGAACATGTAGGATGTAGGATGTCATAGTTTATAATGATGCAAATCATTACATGGCATGGGATGCATGTAGAGTTTGTGCATCTAATGTAATGCATGTAATGCTCTGCTTCATTATGCACAACCCTGATGAGGTCTGAGTTTTGTTTAGGCCAGAGGGCAAGTTGGTGTGTGTGTGTGTGAGAGAGAGAGAGAGAGACAGAGAGAGAGAGAGAAGAAGAAGAAGGAAGTTAAGAAAGTGAATTCCGCAGAGCGAGACCAAACTTTTGTAAACAATGTCTAACCAGCTTCATCTGAAAGTCCAAAAATCAGATCATGAAATGACTTGAAATGGCCCACAAGTATGTCCCAAAAGGAGTCAGAAAACAATGCCTGAGACAGAAGTATATTAAGTGGAAACAGTGGAAAGCTGTGGTTTAGGCTTGCATGCTTTATGTTTCAAGCCACTGGTTTAAACAGGAAAAATAAGAATGTGAATGTGCTGTTAGGACTTAACACTGGAGAACATCATAAAGATCATCATCCTCCTCCCTCTCTCTCTCTCTTTCTCTCTCTCTCTCTTTCTCTCTCTCTCTCTCTCTCTCTGTGTTCTATTTCTTCCTGTCTCTCCTTTTCTTTCTCTTTATCCCTTCTATCTATCTCTCCACCCCTTTTCTCTCTCTCTTTTGCCCCATCTCTCTTTTCTGTCTGTGTGTTTCTCTCTGGCTCATCTCTCTCTCTCTCTCTCTCTCTCTCTGTCTCTCTCTCTCTCTCTCTCTCTCTCTCTCTCTCTCTCTCTCTCTCTGCTCTCTCTCTTTTCTTTTCTTTTCTTTTCTTTTCTTTTCTTTTCTTTTCTTTTCTTTATCCCATTCCCATTTCTCTCTCCATTTATCTCTCCACCCCCCCCCCTTCTGTCTCTCTCACTGCACTTCTCGCTCTGGTAGATCAAGCTGTAGAGAAGATGTGGTAAGATGGATGGGAGGGGTTTTGTGTTTTTCCTCTGTAAGCCAGTTGGTCACAGCTGAAACAGTAAACTAATTGACCACCCATACACTGCATTCCTCCTGCCCTGCACGCAGTTATGAATGAGCTCCGTGACTCTCACTCTCTTTCTTTCTCTCTCTTACCCTCTTACACACGTATACATATACTTGTACAGCCATACACAAGCTCACCCTGACACACACACACACACACACACACACACACAAAGCAGCCCACAGTTCATATGCTATCAATCAAGACCTGAATCCCCCAGATGCTCGTTTACCCCAGTGTGTTTACATGCTCAGCCCTGCTGCTCTACTTCAGCTGGCAACAAACACTCTGACCCCCAGTAACACCACTGGTCACTAATGTACGCCTCAGCCAATAGTCAAGTGATACATTTTTCCTTCTAACCAAAACTCATAAGATTCCCTTAACCCTTCTAGTACCTCCACTGGGTAAATGCCTCGAAAAGTTCTTTCTCACTTATAACTCATTGAAGCAAGAAGTCAAATTCTGTCCAAGGTGCAGATATTAGAATAATAATTTGAAGTAAAAAGTTCATCTTGTTTTACAAAAACAAAGAAATTCTTTTACATTTTTGCTGTTTTGTCATTTGTTGGCATCAAAACAGATGGAAACAAAGTTGGAAATGCATACAGAAGCACATTTTACAACAAAACTAACTATGTAATTGGCAGAAACATTAATATGGATTTTTTAAGTACTGGGTAATAATATTTTTGTTGTTGTTGTAGCTCTTTTTTGTCTGTGTAACCCAGGTCTTAACAAGAATATAAACTTATTATTCAAGCCTTGTATAATTTTTTGCAAACCTTCTATTTGATCATGTTATTTAAAGGGTGCATTTAATGGAAAAACTAATTCTCCTGGCTTTTTCAAATACAATAAAAACTTATTTTTATTTATAATTGAAGGAAAAGTTTACAAACATACTGTTCTAACTGGCATATTTCCATATTTCAGTCTGAACTGCTTTTTGATTGAACCACAATACGAGTAGGCCAATTAGAACAGAGCTCATTTACATATATCAGTCTTAAAGGCGCAATAACAAAAACAGATTGTTCCATTTTAAGGGATAAACAGAGATGGGAAATGGTCATGAAAAATAATTCTTTCTGTTTTTGTTACACAAAACCACACAAATGTCATAAGTGGAAAAATAGAATGAAAAAAATTTAGAATGTGAGGCCTTTAAAAAAGACATACATA